GCATTGCCACAACAAGGGGATAATCAACTAAATGCCAAAATTATTTTTTGTCAAGTATTTATTCCCTATTTGTTATTCAAATATTGTGTTGACGTGTCAAAATAATTTGCATTCGCCTCCTTTCACTTCGTTCATTCCAAATGTTAGGTGACATTTCTGGAATATCTCTGTCCACCCAGCTGCCAAAGTAACTATTAGATCAGACAAGTGCATGCCAGAACCACACAATGATGTGTGGCCACTGACTGGTCCTATACCTTTAAAACAGATAAGAAAAACAAACAAACAACAAAATCGTAAAAATAAAATGTTCGAACATGGCACCTTCCCTTTGGCCATTTTCACCCTCCTTTTGACTCACAAGTGGCCACATCAAACCTGCTGCTGCTCTTTTACCTCAGATGTCAGCAAGAGCTTTTTCACTAACTCAAGAGAAGATTAGTGAAGCCACAATTCTTCAAAGCCACACCATCTTTTTAGGCTGTTGCATAGGACTGCCTCAAGATTCTCAGTGAGTCGAACTGCATGATGTTTCACTCTGGAAGGAGACGCCGACATCACGAGCATACTCGCCAAAGAGCATATATCCCTCCAAACCAACTGATGGCAAAGACAATGATGACAAGAGATAAAAAGCACCACTGTTAACACTTCTTTAGACACCAAACCAAACTCCAAAATGTAGTCCTTCACAAGCGTGCAGCCTCTTATTGTTGCTAATGCTACATTAGCATCGTACTCTCGTTACTAGTTTTTCACATCACTCCCTGAGAGTTTTTTATTGGTTGATTGCAGACCAGACTCATGTTTTCTGGCACTGCTTGAAACTGTTGAAGCCTGACTTTAGTCGTGAGGGTGCTCAATAAGCTGTCACTGAGGCGGTCACACCAAATAGCCACAGACTTGCAAATCACTCTCACGTTCATCGTTTATCATCACGGTTCTGTTGACGATGAGGGATTATAGGATGGTGGAAAAGCACAGTGTGTGTCCTGGGCTTAACAGCATTTAAACTGTTATCACTCTGCTTGTAAATCAAATGCCAGGTCCCTTCTTTTTAAGATGACTGTCAGTATCAAGCAGCAGCTCAAACCTTTCCAAAGTTTGTTTTTTCTAAAGCATCATTATTTTTGTATAATTTGGTGATTTTTGCCATCTTTTCTCTCCCTGAGGCAGACCGAATAATCACTCTAAATGGGACATTTTCATTTGGTTGGCAGGGATTATTAGTGTCCTGGTGACAGGATCAAGATTTCTCATTGAATCAATGGGTAAACCCACTTAATGCCACTTTATCCTGCAGAAATCCTGCAGCCTGGTGATTTAACTTTCTCTTGTTTAGTTCTGAAGTTTTATAAAAGAGATACAACTCCACTGAAAACTGATTTCTATACATATCTGCTCGTTATTTCCCAGCAGCAGAGCAGCCTTTGCAGTTGGAGAACATAATTTATGTTTGTGATTATTTAGAACGATTTTAAGTATCAGAAGAAGGAATCCCGAGGATTGATGGCACAATAAAACCGAAACACAATGTTTGTCTCCCCTCCCTCCCTCTCTCTCTCTTATTTATTTCTTTAACTACAGGAGTGATGTGGACTCTACTGCTGTCGACTCTGAAGCGCTCATAAACAAATTCGCACCTCTCTTGTATTTAAATGTGAGATACGTTATAGCACATAACTGAAGAAAAACGATCAGCATGTGAATGGTGTCTGTGAGAGGGGAGGCCAATCCACAAACCCACAGAAAATAACTAGCTTCTGCTGCTTCTCCTTTGATCTCATCTGCATCCTGCATCAGTAACAATATCACACAATCATTCTGAAAAAGTTAAACATGTCTTGTAAAAAAACTTTGTTTTTTAATCAAATTATTATATCTAGAGTTTCATATTTTTAATATAATTTAGACCAAAAAAAACAATTTATTCTCCTTGATCAGGTTGTTCACGCTGCGCTTTGATGCGCAGATAGATAGATAGAGAGAGAGAGAGAGAGAGAGAGAGAGAGAGAGAGAGAGAGAGAGAGAGAGAGAGAGAGAGAGAGAGAGAGAGAGAGAGCATTTCCAAGCTGATGGTTTCTACAATATTACCCTATCAGGTGCAAACCGCTGACATGTTTCCACCCACCAACAACCAAAAAGCCTCTCCGTGCCCAAATCTCCAGCCGCAGACGCACAAACACCACACACAGGCAGTGCTACGCCATCATCAGCTTCGAGCCTCTCCAGGGATCTGCTGCTGCTGTCGCTGAGAATTCCTCACTCCTCTTTCAAAAACACACTTGGATACATTTATCCCCCGGTGGTGTCTGGTTAGGACCATCTTTTTTATTTTCTGTTTTATTTTTCATCAGCAGCTTTTGGCAGAGTGAAATGATCAGTGCAAGGTGCAGAATCCCCCCACAGGTACGGACGGAGATGGGGAGCATGTGACCTCTGGACGACAAGGAGTGGGGTGAAAGTTGATCCTCAATTTAAGGATGCATTTTGAGAAAATGGGATTTTTTTTTAAATATAGAGAGGTCGCAAAGTGAATCCGTTTCACGCTTGGCATACGTTTGTGGACAACTTAAATCAAGAGAGGGCCGGAGAAGAATGAGCAGAGAAAATAGTTTTTTGGGATAGTTTTCCCAAACAAGGAAGCCCCAAATGTTGCTCTCTGTAACTCTGCTGCTGCCCTGCCGTCACCTTTCCTTACACCGGGATTCGATCTCTCGCCTACCCCCGGAGTTGTGTGCGTAAAAGACGCGCGGCGGCGCGGAAGGCAGAGCGACAGAGAGGAAGAGCGGGGGAGTGAGAGAGACAGAGAAAGAGAGGAGGGCGATTTCTTGAACCTTTCCCGGGGCTCCGAATCTGTGGAAGCAGGTGTATTTCAGCCGTTTTTCTGAAAGCCATGATGTCTCTGCTGCCTTCGAGGTTCATATACCTGTAAGTGCTCAACGCCTCCGCTGGTTTCCCCTCAAACTCATGCATTCTTACCAATAGAAGTCGCCAAAAACTACATATTTATTCGTTGCTGTCATGCAGGTAGTGCATTTATTTTCTATGTAATTGCCTGTGATTCACTCCCCTCTCTTCCTTCTCTCCTCTTAGGTGTTTGCACTTTCTGGTACTCTATTTCCAGCTGCAGGTAGGTCTGCACTCTTCTCAACTCTTGTTGTTTTGAATTGGATCGTAAAGAAACGGTGCCTACAGGTTACTTTAGGGTGCTATCCGTCGCAAATGAAGCGTTTTAATTTGATTTGAGAAAACTGTGAGGAAAAATCGATTCATAATCTGAGTCAAACAAAATAATAGATAGAATAAAATAATAATGAACTGGCAGGATATAATTAATCTGCTGGAAAAGAAGAAAACAATATTGATAAGAAACGTGTCTTTAAGGGTTTGACATTATATGATTACACTTTTCAGTTAATAAACAGGATTTGTGTCATAAATATTCTGGGATTAATTATTTTTGGGCAGATAACTCACTTTGCTGCCTTGCTTTTTTATTAGTTTTGTCTCTTTTGAACAGTAATTATTTGCAGACATCCCTAACAGATGATTCGGCTGCTACTCTGGTTCCCTTCTCTCACGCACCCACTGGTCTGCTTTCAGACATGTTTATTTTAAACACTTGAAGCTTAATTATTCATGTATTTTAAATCTTACAGAAAAAAACTGAAATAATTGGTCGAACGTTTGTTTGAATATCCATCATTAAAGCAATTTATTTAATTTTACAGTTTTAGTTCAATTAGCGAAGTTTTAAGACAATGGAGGAGGGAATGTTTGTATTATTTAGAGTTTTTAAATTTACTGTAGGTTTCAGCTGCTCCTGTAAAGTAAAAATAAAAAAAAACATTATTTTGACATATTTTTGATTAAATATATGAAAAATCTTAACATAGAAAAATAAGATATTTTAAATAACCTCTTATTAGTGTAAAAGAGGGTTAAAATACGCACAACGTATAAATTTCCCTTATTTTGCCAAATATAACGTGCATGTTGAGTTTTGCATCTCAAAGTCAGATCATAAATAAAAAGTTTTTAGTAAGCCAAGCAGACACATTGGTTATTTAAGTGCCAATAGGAATAATAAAAAAAATGCAGTAATCTTTATTCTCAAAAGATTGCCTCGTTTTGCACGTCTTCATGTTGCCGCATGCAGCTAATGACACTCGCATGTCAAGATGTTGTTATAATTTAATGAGAAGATAATGAATTAATCCCGGTTGAAAGATTTTGCACCTTCGATATCGGAATATGTTTCAGCGTGTGTGTGTGTGTGTGTGTGTGTGTGTGTGTGCGCGCGTGTTTTAAACCAAACCTGTTGTTTTAACAAGATAGCATGGCATATCTTAAAAAGATGCAACAACTGAGATTCCTTAGCACAGCCGCCTGTCGAAGATTTGAAGTGGAAAACATATTCGTTTTCATGCTGCTTCTTTGAAGAAAGCAGACATGTGATAAAAACTATTGTCACTAGTCACCTCAGCCATGTGCTTAGGCTTGCCTCTCCACTGAGACAAAATCCAACTGTCTACCAAACACACCTTTATGTTTGTTTAGAGAGGGGAAGATTTGGGATAAATCCCTCAGCAGCTCTGTGAGGCTTTGCTTTGTTGTGTGCTGTCTTTTTCTCGTACTTGTCAGCTTTGAGGTTCATGTTTGACAACAGATGATGCTGATGAAGAGCTTTGAACACATTTCTGGGTAGTCTGGCACGAGCTGCTTGCTGCTGGTAACGTGTCTCGGCTGAAACCGGTATGCAACGTTCTCGTTTCCTGCAGTGGTGACACCTTTTAGCCTCATTTGTTTTAGCCGTTGTGACTGTTGCTGTTTAACTGACAACACACTGGAACCCAGCATGAAAGCTTTTGATGGGCTTGACTGGATGGGGTGGGGGTGGGGGGTGATCATGTTTTGCTAGAATGTGTTAAATAACCTTGGGGTCTTGTTCTCAAATGAGGGGCAGACCTAGCCACAGATCAATAGGCGGATTAGTGCTGCGTATCGGTCTGCCGTGGCAAAGAGAGATCTGAGCAGTCGATCTAACCCTCGTCTACAGTCACAAGCTTAGGGCAGTGACTGATTTCTAGACAGAGCCAAGGTGTTGAAGGGGCCTAAGGATTGAGTCTCTGCTTTTTGCAGATGATGCGGTCCTGTTCGCTTCATTAGACCGTGATCTCCAGCTTTTGCTGGAGCAGTTTGCAGCCAAGTGTGAAGCAGCTGGGACAGCTCCTCTAAATCTGAGACCATGGTCTTGCATCGTAAAAAAGGGTAGAATGACTTCTCCGGGTTAGGGATGAGGTCCTGCCCCAAGTGGAGGAGTTTAAGTATATCGGGGTCTTGTTCACGAGTGAGTGAACGTTGGAGCATGTGAACGATAGGCGGATTGGTTCTGCGTCTGCAGTGATGCGGGCGTTGCACCGGTCTGTTGTGGTGAAGAGGGAGCTGAGCCGGATAGCGAAGCTCTTGATTTACCGGTCGATCTACATCCCTACCTTCACCTATGGTCACGAGCTTTGGGTAGTGACCGAAATAATAAGATACAAGTGACCAAAATTCGTTTTCTCCACAGGGGGTCTGGGCTCTCCCTTAGTCCTATGCTTCTGCATCTGTACGGAGACACACAACGCCATTATCTGTCCTTTCGAGCCTGCTGGAGAGCCCTCATAAGGGCAGACAGAGTCGAGCCCACTTTTCTAAACATCCGTCGAATGAGACAGAGAACGCAAGCTTGTGACTGGTCAGGACAACGCTTTCGTCAACAGCACCGCCATTGCGATGGATGGATAAAAACTCTTGAGTTATGATCTGTTTGAGTTTAAGATTTAGTGTTTGGTTGTTGTTTTCTCTAAGCTTTGCAGAGTGGCCTTTTAGTGTTTTGTTGTGTATACACTAAATGAAATATTGAATTTAATTATTACTTTTTATCAGCATGTTCCACTAAACCTAGATGCTTATTTTTAACATAACGCATAACGATGTGTATTACACTTTACATTTAAGCAACTATGTTTATTTGAACCAGTTGTCATAAATGAAGTATATTCAACATTTCATTTTGTAGAGTGTAGTCCACAAGACTCGATCAAGGTAAAAAGCAACAATGCAAAATACCAATTTTAGTTTAAAAAAGGAAAACACCTTTTATTCAGAAATCCCCACCAGATGTTGGCCCCTTAAAATCAAAACTGGTATAATCATGTTTCATCCTCATTGTTTATACTGTCCAAAGCCAAAGTTCTATCAGTGCATTTTCTAAATCTCATCTGACACACAAGCTGGATTTGAGTCCAGGTAGATTCCCCGAGGTCCCCATTTCAAGTCTGAATGTGCCATAACAAAAGAAACCAACCCTTCACATTTCAATAATTCAGTGTGAATGTTGCCTAAAGCTGCACCTGCAAAACCTGTTGGGTATTTTACTAATGCAACTGCACAAGTTAACGCCTTGACATGCCTTCAGTCCTCGTATTTGTTTATTTTGGTTTGCTTGAAAATGCGTGGGCCTTAGCTAGATTTTGGCATTGTTAGAGAACTCAGATTGGTAGAAAACATTCTTGGGGTAACTTGTATGACATCTAATTTATAAGAGGCAGGTCAGCAGCCTAATACAGGATTTCACTCGGATTTGGAGAAGCTGTTTATCTTTTGTCTCAGATTTAAAGGATTTGTTCACACAAAGCCATCATTTCCCATCACATTTGCTACATATCATTAATATACAGAAGTTAGATTAACAAGGACTCTAGGGATCTAATGCCTATGTAATTAGCCACCTGAGTACACCACATAAAAACCAATTACTGTGCAATTACCACACCGTACAGCTGGGAAGATGAGATCTTGGCATGGGCTGAGATTCCAAGGGCTTCTGAAAGTATATGTTTCCTTTTTCACATGTCAGTGCATCGTTGCTTTTCTGAAATGCCACTGAAAGTGTAATTTCCTCAGTTTTATGTCTGGTTTTAGTTGATTCATTAAAAGTCCAAGGGGTGAGACACCGAATGCAGCTTTATGCAGTTTGATACAGAAATATATTTCCTGCAAGAGAGTCTTTGTGATGTAAGGTACTTCTTTCCCAGTCTTGTCCTCCGCCTGCTGCATTTTCTAATTTATGGGCTCTGCTTGGCCTGCAGGCAGATATTTGTTTGATGATAGTGCAACAGGTCTGGATGCTTCAGGTGTATAATTGCTAGTGGCTTGGTTACTTGTGGAAATGGAGTACAGGTTACTCAATAATGCTTGAGGCACATTAGTGTCACAATACAAAGCAGCACAATGTTTCTCTGCAGGATTTGCACTTCTGTTGGGTTTTTACTCAAACAGTGACTTCATTAGTGAGCCTTGTTAGCGCCTTGTAAATGCAATGGACATAAAACATGAAAGCAAAGCAAAAAAAAAAGCACTAAAATGGTACTGCCACAATTTTTATATTATCTCAGTTTTTTTAAGACCCTGAAGAATTTTTATTTATTTATTTTACAAAGAGCCCATAATAAAACCAGCAGAACACATTACTATAAACACCTGCGCTGTGACGATTTTCATCTTGTGTTCCTGTCTCACTCTTCTGTGCAGGAATCCCAGCAGAGCACTGCAGATTTCCGGTTTTACATCGAGAACTACACTAGAAACCCAGACGACCTGAGCCGAAAGCAGGTCCGGATCTATCAGCTCTACAGCAGAACCACGGGCAAACACGTCCAGATCTTGGGGAAGAAAATCAATGCCAACGGAGATGATGGGGGCAAGTATGGTATGGGAGAGTTTCTGTGTATTTAATTTAGCTAGTCCCCACCTCCCACCCCATGAGATGAAGGTTTTGACTCTTCCAGAGGTTTTAATCCTGTCTGTGTGCCGTCATTGTTTGAAGGTGTGTTTTTTTCCTCTGCCCTGTTTGTTTAGTGCCAGAGTTGTGACTTTTGGAAGCCACTCATTAGCGATAAGAGTGCATGAAAACCTGTTGACGTTGATGACCTTGCAGACGATTTTTCCTGTTGTTTACACATTTGAAGCCATTATTTAGGACTCTGATTTCATAATCTGATTAAATTTATAGCCTAAAAAAGGCCTTTTTTTGTTTTTTCAAGCTACAAAATAACATAGCCTGTTGACTTATTGAGATTCAAACACGTGAGAGTCAAACAATCCTTTAAAAGATTGAGTAAACAAATGATAGGAGGAGTTTATGGACGATAAAGTTGATACTTTCTTTATAACATTTAAAAATTTTTTAATATGAACAGCTATCAAAGGCATCTGGAAGGTTTTGCTCTGAAAAGTCCTCTCCACCTTAGATGTAAGCGCTTGTCTCGGCACAGACCTTTTCACTATTCCAGAACGAGTAAATTGATGGTCAGTAAAGAGCTCTTTGATGTAGCCTTTGCTTTGCTTCCCTGCAGATATGTTGCTCGTAACAGCTGACTCACAGTTCTAAAATTGCCGGTCTTGAATGCCTCTGAGTGAGTGTGCTCGGTCACAGATGCGCAGGGGCGAAGTTTCCTCGGTGCTTGTTAGAGCTTGAGTGGAAGCAGATCCAATTTTTCCCATGAGCCTTTGCCAATTGCACCACCCCCCGCCTGTCCCTCACTCCCCCCCCCCCCCCCCCATCCAGCTGCAGTACCTGGCACCTGTGAACTCCTTTGCTCTCACAAGTATGAAAGTCTCGTAGAGTCTCACAACATAAGGCCAACAAAACACCAGAGGAATAATTTTGCACTTTGTTGCGAGGTTTTATGGCTGCTAATTTCTTATCTGTACATCTAAAGAGGGGCATTATAATTCTTTCTTTTTTGGATTAGTGTAGCATATTTATTACTTCTAAGAGAGTGGAACTGCCCTCTCACTGAACAGTATTGTAACTGATGCTTGTAGTCCAGCAAGAGCAGATGGTGGGTCACTATAAGGCTTTTTAACTGATAAAAGTTAAAACATGGAATTAAGACCAGCGTTCTCAGCTCGACTTGACAGGTGGCCTCTTGTTAAGGTTAATATATGTCTGTGGCCCACATTTTTCAGATTGCACCAGTGCACAAAAAAGGAAAATGCAGCCAACAAGGAGTGCTAAAGCATATGATCGCTGCTCAGAGATATGCAATACACTGTTGAGGATTGACTAATGTGCTCCAAGTTTTAACCGAGCAGTCCAAGACTTTATTCAGACTTTAATGCTTTAGTAATTTTGTGTATTTCTTCATGACAAAATATTACATAGTTTTGCATTTAAGAAAAAAGGCTATTTGGCAGCTTAGAATCTCTTGATAATAGAAGATATCAAGTCAAAGTAAATTGGCCTGTATTTATAGAGCACCTTCTGGAGTTCTGCAACCCCCCAAGGCACTTTACGACAGAACATTCCCTCACCCATTCACACATGGTGATGAGCTACATTTTAGCCACAGCTGCAATGGGACACACTGATAGGAGCGAGGCTGCTGTACACAGACACAAACGGTTCCTTCGACCACCACCACCAGGCGGGGCAACGACTGCAACACACTGAGCAGGGCTTGAACCGACAACCCTCCAGTCACAGGCAGGCACTTAGAGCCCTAGGCCTTTAAAAAAATGTTTGAAAATGACATGCCCACACTTTAATGAGTATACTTATGTAACCACAAGGCCTATTTGATTGCGTTTGGTCTCATTTTAAAGGAAAATCTGTGGGATTTGTTGAGATGTGTAATTATTAGTAGATGTGTTAATGATTATGAAATTATAAATGGACATGGAACATTGTAAAAAGGTAGATTTTTATTTTGCCACTTGAAAAAAATTTATTTCAGGATGAATAGCTCTTTAGGAAAATGCAGCAGTAGCTTCAAACATCAATGCATTTATAGTCCTTCATATTGACATTAGATGTACAAATTTCGAGTTTGATAAAGTGAAGAACAACAGTTTTACAAAGGTTTATTTACAGACACTCCAGGCGCAGTCTCTCATGGCAAATCTGTGCCACGTGGATTTGGATTGCAATAGCACTTCTTCCACAGACTAGTTTCTGTTGTCTAACCTTTTAGCCGTCTTTGTTAACATTGTAAAGTCATTCAGTGACAAAGGTTTTATAATGTTTTTGAACCAGTGCGCAACAGGCATTGGCTGAAGCTCCGAGTAAATGTAAAAAATGTTGCATAAGAGTATCTCCGGATCCCATTGGACAATTTTGGTGATTCCATCTCCGAGTAGAACCTCTGAGCCAATAGAATCACTTGTTGATTTATCTTTTTGGGGGGGTGGGGTTGCGTGGGTGGGGGGGTTGCTTTCGTAAACCAATCACAGGAGGAGAATCGCAGTAAACCAGAAAATAACGGGACTTGGCGCCGGAAGACGCCGGAAGTTTGAAAACAGTCTCCAGCAGATAAAAATAGCCCAAAACAGTCATGAATCTGCTCAGTTTGACGACTGGGACATAGGATTATACAAACAAATTGATTTTTTTTACTATAACACAAATTATGACCATAAACCAGCAAAGATAAGACTGAATTGACACTTTTGACGTCATGAAGTTAGCTTGATGAGTTTTGCACATAGATGGTAATGGTACTGTTGCCATTGTTGGAAAGAGGAGAGTCTGGGCTTTGATTTAAATGGGTGCTGCTGTGGATAGAATGATGTTGCATTTTCATTACTGGATGCTTTTCTTGATCTGAGTAGTTAGCATGTTTTTACAACTTTTTCAGTTAGTGGCTTGTTGTTGCTTATTGATGACATTGGTTGTTGTTGAGGTAGAAAAAATGGATTAAATCATTTAGATGAACCTCTTTCCATTACATACGTGTGCAGATGTATACACTGGTTAATATTAGGCATGCTTTTGATACAACTTTGTTACTGGAAGTTACCTGGATCCAGTGAAGCGGAAAGCAGAAAACTCTGGAGCATTCAGTGACTCCACCCCCTAGCCAATCAGCATCCAGAGTCACGATGCCTGCCCGACTCAGCCTTGCCAGGTACCTCAATGGGGCAGGGACTAAAAATTGGGGAGAAAGTAGGAAAATACCGAACCGTGCCCTTAGATATAGTGGTCAGGCCGAGCCGCATCGTTCTGAGTTACCTTTACACTGTGAAAAAGGATTTAATTCTATTTATCTTAAATATCATCCACCTATTAATGGATTTCCTTAAATTAAGAGTTACCAAGTGTCTAAAACACCGTTAGGTTAGTGAAAAGGCCTGGAGTTTTTTCATATAAATGCACGTATTAGAGTATAAAACACAACTTTCTTTATAATCACACACATCTTGATGGATTTTGTTCCTCTGAGACCTCTGATTTGCCCAGACTCTTCTTGCCAGTGACAAAACCAAGTCGGTAAAAATGTGTCTCACAGCAGGAGAAGGAATTGTTATCTGCTCCTAAACTTAGGATAGGTCAACTACTTCCCACTTTTCTCCCAAAGTTTGATTTTAGTGTGGGAGGTTGCTTCTGCCCCCGAGCCCATCCCATCCCTTCCCCTATTCCTTCTCTGCTCCCTTGAGCGCTACTGAATGGGCCTGTGTGTTAAACAAATGGATCATCTTAACTTTTTGATTGAGTGAGCACAGACTAAAGGGAACTTGAAACCTAATCCTGAGGGGCACATAACTGCTGCACAAATGTTTGGCAGATCTCTTTGCTGGGCTAAGAGCGAGCAGAGACAAAGGCAACCTTGCAGAGGTTAACGTTTGGGATGGGAGCAGGAGTAGGGTGTCGGGGGAGCTCAAAACAATAAAAGGGCCGTCAGGATACGTCCTTAAGTGGATTATTGCTATGTCAAGCTGGACTGACAATGGCATGGCAGTTTGATTTAAATATGTTATTGGGGTTATTATGTTTGTACACTTTAAAACTGTTTGAATTACTTCTTATGGTGGGATTATTTATTTAATCGAGCAATCTGTAAATTGTATGTATTGAAAAAAAGTGAGTTTAGTAGTCTTTAGACCAATATTTCTTTGGGCTCAAACTGTTGGTAACCAGTTGCAGGCGCAAAACAGGGAATTAATAACAAGCAAAAAGAAGACCTAGAAAAACTAAAGGAGTATTAAAAAAACACAAAAGAGTTGTTAAAACAACAGGGAGGCAAACCAAGGTGGTGAAACAAAGGACTATTTAACTGCAGAGAACTTGATCATTGAGTGGAAGCAGCTGAACTTATTAGCCAGATGAATTGCAGGTGTGACAGGCAGCGTGAACCGCAGAAAACCATGAAACTGTGTATGAGAGAAAAAAGAAACATCTTAATTTTTATGAATGATGAACTAATAAAACCAAACCAGAAAACAAAGCACAGCTGTGACAACCCTCTGAATTAAACACCTTTGTGTCAAAACTGCTAATGCAGTGCAACATTGGTGCAAAAGAATTGGAGATTTTCTTGTCACAATTGAGTCATGATTCAGTTCAGTTTATTTATATAGCACCAATTCACAACATCAGTCATCACAGACACTTTACAAAGTAAACTTCCAACCGAATCTACTTATCAGTGCATTGAGTTCAGCTCATTTTGCCAGTCAGTAAAGTTTCCTATATAAGGAACCCAGCAAATTGCATTGAGTCACTGACTAGTGTCACAGTCTTTACAGCAATCCTCATACTAAGCAAGCATGCAGCGACAGCGGAGAGGAAAATTCCCTTTTAACAGGAAGAAACCACCAGAGGATCCTGGCTCAGTATAAGCAGCCATCCTCCACAACTCATTGGGGATCGAGAAGACAGAGCAGACACACACATGCATGCACACACACACACACACACACACACACACACACACACACACACACACACACACACACACACACACACACACACACACACACACACACACACACACACACACACACACACACCTGTTACAAAAAGTTAATATCAGCATATTCTCACCATGTTTGTATGTGTTTGTTACTCTGATTTTGTTTAATTCAGAATGTCAGAATCTCATTTTTTTAAATCTCCAATAGGTCATTGGATTTATTGGTGGCTGACCCCTTCAAAAGTTCTAGATCCTTAAAATCTTTTGAGAGGAAATTTGTCGCCAACAGAGATCTTTAGACTGCTGAGCATATTTCCAGTTAAGCTTTAGCTTTTGGTCTCGACTTTAAGGGCAAACCACCAAATAGTTCCCAAGCACAGCCACCTGCAGCTCCCCGGAGGATGGGTCAAATGTGAAGATGTGTTTTCACCAGTGTGTGATGATGACTAATGGCACTGTAAAAATGTATCACAGCCATAAAGTTGTGTAGTATTTAAGTATGCGTGCACTCCCAAGGTACATGTGACTTCAAGTTTACAGTTTCTTTATTTTTATTTTTTTCAGCTCTTCTTGTCGTTGAGACGGAAACTTTTGGGAGTCATGTACGAATAAAAGGAAAAGAGAGTGAACACTACATTTGCATGAACGAGAAGGGCAAAATTGTTGGAAGGGTGAGTCTCTGATATGTTCCTATATTCTTGTTAAGAAAAGCTAGTGAAAATAGAGCCATTGCAAATCAAAGCTTGTATTAAATACCAAGCTCTTGATCCTGAGTGCATTTAGCAGAATGTCAGATTTGTTATTGCCGGTTGTTTTTGTACACCCTAACAAAACCCTTTTGATAACTCACAGCCATTCTTCCATTACGTAATCGGCCTACTCCTTTGACACTTGATCAGTCAATTACAGACTGCAATCACCACAATACATTGAGAGACTAATGGTCACTTAGGAGGAATGCCGTTGCAATTATATCATTTAGTCACACCAGGTGGCCACAAAAGCAAGATGACTCCATGTGGAGCTGCAGGCAACCATTCATACGTGGAAAAGAAGTTTGAATCTGAAAACAAGACCCGTTAAAGCTGTTTTAGTGTTCTGTAAATACAAAGGTTTATCCTGTACGAACAAACATTAATTCAGATCTCAATTAATTTTTCATATATATTTTTTAATTTTCAGAATTTTTTTCATTTGATCTAATTGGTGCACTTTCTGTTTTTTATGTTTTGTAAGGGGTTGGGCTCTCATAGTATAAAAGTGAAATAATAAATGACAAAAAAGTGATTAGCATATATGCCGAGTGCACTTATATAATCAGACTCATCTAAAACAAGCAAAAAAAAAGAAAAAAAAAAGAAGGAAAAACAACTTTCCAAACTGTTTATAGCAAATATAGAATGCCCCCCAAAATGCTGCAATAAGCCTAATTCACAGTAATTATATTTTGAAGGTTTTGGAAAATTTTCACATCATTAGATTTCACTCTTTAACAATAATATCCTGTAATCTGACCACTGTATTTTAATAAAAAAGTAAACAATAGAAAAAACATCTGAAGTATGGCGATAGATGAAACATTAATGTTCCAGAGCGAATGGAGGCAGTACAAGAGTTGCGTATCTGTTAGCCAATCAGAGGTGAGATGTCCGAATATCACGAATAGATGAATAGATAGAATTGATGAGTATGACTCCAAATCCTGCCGTTTTATGCCCCCACTTCTCTAGCTAACTTCTACTTCCTGAAACAGGGTCGTCAGACTTTTTTTCCACAGAGAATGATGCACGAGCAAGGCCGGATTAACCATATGGGCAACTGGGCAATTGCCCAGGGCCCACGGACTTTAAAGGGCCCAGACCCTTTAATCTCCCGCTTTATATTAAAGTAGGGTGACCGTACGTCCTCTCTTCCCCGGACATGTCTACTTTTCACTCTCTGTCCGGGCGTCCGGACTGGGGGTTCTTGATGAAAATGTCCAGCTTTTCATCCAGGAGCAGGGACCGAATTATGGGGGAGCTGGATATCCTACACATCCAGGGAAGCCGGAAAAAGTTTTCTACCTATACTACATCATTTATGGACTCTTTTGAGCAGAGAGCACAGAGAGCGGCACAGCCCTGATCATTGTGGCACAGCGCTCTGGGCAGCTGCGTCCAGCGCACGGTCCATTCTCAAAGTGGCACAACCAAAAAACTACAACACACGATCGTTCATGTCCGTACATGTTCTCTATTTTCTGTCTTATTTGGGCCTGAAGCTCTCTGCTACTGCGGAGCTCATCACCTGTGCTGCGGTGATTTCACCTCACTGACGCAGCATCGAAACGCGCTCTGCGCTTTGCGGTCAGGAGATCCCTTTGATCTGCTCATAGTAACTGATGAGGTGAAAAAGTAAGAATGCAGGCAGCAGTTTTTCTGGAGAGTTTAGAGGAGATGCAGGAAGATGAGAGACAGACAGGACAGGAAATAGTTAAATAAAAACAAGAAAACAAAACAAAGTGTTGAAAAGTAAAATGTAGGTAGATTTATCTCCACTACACGTTTTATAAAACAATAAGTTACACACATGTCATATTTATACATCTGATACAATTCAGATCACATTCAAAACTCAGTCACACACCCAGGGCCGTTTCAAGACATTTTGGGAGCCAAGGCAAAATGAACCCCTCCCCCCCTATACCTGGGCCCCCAGTAGCCTCTGTGTAATTCATACCCTGTCCAGGAGTATTACTTATACAGTGGTTGTAAAAGTCCCTCAGACATTACTGACATGTTATCAGATGGAAAACTAAATGATCAGACATGCTGTCTCATCTGCTGATTTTCTAAACTTGCAAAAAGTAACAAAACCATGTGAAAGCCACTATTTGTGGATTCTCTGAAAGTTTCCATGGAGAGTGGGACCACTTATTTTATCATTGATCCTATCGTCTAATCTCACAGCTGAAACAAGCATCCTTAATAATCTGTGCACAGGAAGCTTACCGATGCTGTAGTAAAACAAAAGGTATAATAATTTATTATTAATAAAACCTTGTTGCAGCACTAAAGCAGAAAAATGAGATTTTTGCAATAAATATGCTAAATATTTACATATGAATTGTTTTAGAGCCCTTTTATTGGCAGAATCTGATATTAATGCAGTTCTTACAAAAAATGGGTCCCAACGTGGTTTGTGTGGCGTTGCCATAGAGTGACGTCATAGGCACAGATCCCCTGTCCTCTTGTTTGGAAATGGAAATATGGTCACCCTATTAAACAAACTGTCCACCCGGGCTTTTGCGCTGCACAGAGACGCTTCGCTGCCTATGACTGAACGTCAGTTGAGAGTCAGTCTCATGCAGACTGACCAATGAAGAGAGGGCCTCAAGTTAAGACCCTCTCCTCATTGGTCGGTCCACACGAGGTGGGTCAAAGGTTACCCTGAGCGGGTTACGTGATGTCAGGCAATCAAATATTGAGTATATTTACTGCATATTACAGTAAAATATTCTGTATGTGACCACATTATGGTGATCCTTGGGTCGTGATGATGGGGCCCTTGAATATTGTTGCCCAGGGTACAACAAAGTGTTAATCTGGCCCTGTGCACGAGGCCCTCGTTCATACTAGAGACCACAGCAGATTTATTGAAATAACGTGTGTATGGCGTCCTTAAGATAATTTATTCAAGGATTATGACAGCTTTGTATGAAAAAGTAGCTAAAATAATTGTAGAATGAGCTTCATGTTTAAGGGCATGGATACAAATGCCAACGGATTGTTAATCTAACATGGAGGAAAACAAAAGACAAACTGATAAAATACATTTAAAAGGTACACAGATTAAAGAATAAAACCACGGCTCTATACAAGCCAATTTAGTTTTTTCATTATAAATGAATATTTTTGGGAAGACACCTTCAGTACCAAAATTCCCACGTTTTGTCTCCTGTTTACCTTTTGTTGTTTGTGTCTTTCTGACATCCTTTACTTTAATTTTGACACAAGTTAAGCTTAGTGAAAAACTAATAAGAAATTCGACTTTGGTTTAGAGTTATCCGGCATCCAGCCAAAGCAGAATGCGATGCCACCGGAGGGGAAAGGAAATGTACAAAGTTGCAGGAAACTTTTGAACTCTCAACAATAGAGAATAAAAACCCAAGCAGGTCATAATCCACCAATTGTTAAACTTTTTCCAAAGTTATCACAAGGCTGCCTGGCAGGATTTGTTAGAAGCCAACGTGATGCTGTATGTTAATGATTAACGTCCACACTTTTCTCCTTCAGCCCGATGGAAGGAAGCAGGAGTGTGTCTTTGTCGAGGAATTCCTGGAGAACAACTACACGGCTCTTGTGTCGGCCAAGTACAAAGGATGGTATCTGGGCTTCAACCGGAAGGGGCGGCCCAAGAAAGGCTCCCGTACCACGCAGAGGCAACAGGAAGTCCACTTCATGAAACGCCAGCCGAAGGGTCGGCTGGATCCGCTGGAGGAGTTCCGTTTCACCACAGTAACTAAGCGGACACGAAGGGCTCGGCGATTAAAACCCAGGAACTGATGGGACCACTGGGACAGCACTAGATGTCCTCTTTGGGCAGGGGAGTGAAACTGAAAATGTCAAGCTTCTTAAAAGAATCCCCTAAAGTCTTCACCTCTGTACAAGAAAAACGAACAAAAAGTCAAAGATGTTTTATTTTTGTATTTCATGACTCTTGGATTCTCCTGGGTTGATGTCATTGTGCTCATTTCTCTGTCGTGTTATTTATACTGGATAAACTAAAGGACCTCCGAGAGAACTCCTGTCGCTGCTGTCCTCAGCTCGGTTTGAACTGAGTCGTACATTCTTTTCGACAATGGGAGCTGAAGCAGGAGCTGACGCAATGTTATAAAAATCAGCCAACTAGAGATTTATTGGAATACCTGTCGGTTTTTGTTTGTGTTGCCCCTGACAACGCGGATCCCATACTTTCCACTGGAATTAGACACCATGGAGATGAAGCGGAGAGAGGCGGCAGGTGACACTGTGCTGCCGGGATAACTGTGTAGCTTTGAGTGCAATATTTTACAGGTCTCTTTCTCTTTTTCTCTGTCTCAATACGTCTCGTTCCACTCGTGGCTCCTGGAATGTGCTGAAACCTCAAAGTTCCGAGTGTGATCTCCATGACATTTCCATGCAGCCCTGTGATTCAGCTGAAACACGACATGCTTTGACTAGTCAGACACCCACTGTGGCCTTAGACCTGTTCAAACTCTAAAAGAAAACAGTACAAACAAAAAACAACAGCTGATGTGATTTATAATTCCACACTGTCTTCCAAATTCATCACACTCGGAGAAGAGCGGTAATCCCTTCTTCTCCTTTTCAATCAGCTCTTCCTCACAAGCTCTTTCAGTTGATGATGATTCTTCAAGTGAGAGCTTGCCAGAGATTTTCAAAGCTGGTGATGACTTCTTCTACCTCCTTTTGCTTTTTTTTTTATCTTTACCTTGCCTGGTTGTCTGTGTTTAGCAAATCTCAGTCGACTCTGTCCTTGAACTAATTATTGTTATTATTGTTATTATTATTATTATTATTATTATTATTATTATAACTTAATTAGTTTTGGGGGAAAATGACATGAGTTATCCACAAGCAGGTATTCTGTGCATCGCTCACCCCAAGTGCTTCAAAGCTACTTTTCAAAACCTAAAATGACAGGATTCAGGGAACCTTTTCATATCACCTGGAGTTTGTATCTGAATCCTAAAGGAAATGTTGATTATTTTCCTCCTTGTTCTCACTGATGGCAAACTCCAGGTTTATTTTTTCACCAGTAGTGTGTATTTACCTATCAGCCAGCAGTCCTTTATTTGAGTTACTACTAACAACATGACACATTTATGTCAAAAAATAATTTTATGACTATTATTAAGATATTTATTGCCTCTCTTTGTAAATAAAATGTGAGTTTTATTTGGCCTCTGTTAATAAAATGAGGACTATATTTAAAAAAAAAGTGGTATCTTCTGATGACTCGTGTAATGTGCCCGTTGAATATGACATCTGAAAGATCGATGCAGCAGGTAACGATTGGGCAGACATAGCGTACATTCCCTTCTCCGCATATTGCCAAGGTATGCATTTTTATACACAAACCCGAAGCGTGAGGATTGCTTTTAAGGTCATCACTTTGAGAAAGGCTTGTTGCAACATCCCTGATAGCTGTAAAAGCCCACAAGAGTTCACACACTTGGTGCTTTTATCCCATTAAATATATATTTGAACTCAAACAAAATAAACATGTTCACTGTGGAGAAAGATGCAATAAAACAATTTTTTTGGATGAAAACGTAGGAAACAGGAAATGATGAGCCTTCAGATGATTAGAAGTATATCACTAAAATATAAATGCTCGCTTCTCCATGCTAACAAGCAGATGACATTTTAGACATTTCTAATGCTTTAAAGTGCTAAAGGAATGCAGAGAAGCATGCCTTATAATGCTGTGTGCAGGAATGATGTTTACAGTACCTGTCAGACTGAAAGATGGAGGCTTTGAAGGGGGAAAAATACTCTTGTTTAAATTCCTTCCAATGTTATCAGCCCCCCTCCGCTCTGCTGTCTCCCCTCTGGTAGTCACCTCCAACAGATCTAGAGATTCCCTATTTTGTCATGAGGTTTTGAATGTCTGGTCTGCTTTGAAGAGGCTGAATGTGATGCATCATTAACATAATGGATCAGCACGGATGACGCCCCACGTTTTTTGAGTGGTAGCTGTGAGCAGAAAAGGTGTAGATGTTTATTGTGTTTCACAACTAGAATTGCATGTCTGTAACAAATTCAGCAGCTCTTTATTTCCTCTTTAGAAATAAAAACAAGCAGGGGGATAAAATTTGTCCAAAGAATGTTAATGCTAAAGTCGAACTCTGTGAATTGTCAACAAACGTTCCTAAATCTGGGAATTCAAAATCAAATTTCTTTGCAAATCACTGAGAAACCTAATCAATGTAACATTCTAGATCCTCCAAATTCTGTTTTGAAATAAAAGGACACGTTTCTTTCCCATGCCGCATACTTCAAACTTGACCGAGCACAACCAAACTGCATATTGACATTTAAACGAGCGCCGATGCTTTAAAACATTTCACCCCACTCGCAATAAGCAGATGACATTTTTGCATAAGCCTCCTGCTAGGCTTTTCTCTGACACAACCTTTGATCATTGGAGGCTGGATGGTCTTGGAAGTGGACCAATAACTTCCAAACAAAACATACAATTCCCCGTTGCAAAGCCTAGCCACTTTTCAAAAGAGGTGGAATCTTTAAAAGCAGTCCTGCTTGCCAAGTCGACTTTATTCTATTATTAGAAAATCGTTTAAACTTTGCACAATGGGTACAGTATGACCAGAGCCGTGTCAGAGTGGAGAGAAACTTTGAGGTTCGGAATAAGTTATACAAATTTTAGTGCAACAACAACAAAGTGGGTTTTGGTTTCAGCCACCACACGTTTAACAATTAGTCCTGTCAAGAGAAGTTTACCTTCTTTTAGACGTAATTTGAGTTTTAATCCTCTAAATATTACCAGCATTGTCTATTAAAGGTGAAGTCTACAGCCAAACACAACAAACTTTGTGCTATTCTATATCTTAAATAATTCTCATCACGTCACTTACAGTCAAAACATTTCTGCTGCTACCACCCATCTAACTCCCATTAAATGCTAACCACAGTCGACTGTTGGCTTTTATGATGGGGGGAAAAAAGATTCTCTGAGTATTTTTGAATACATGTCTGAGATGTGTTTTTCCAGAATTATAAATGTGCTTACTTACATTTTCTGGAAAGCCAGACCTCTTCCGTGTTCTCTGAACAACATGCAGCGAGGGCATAAAAAAGAGCATAAAAAATAAACTGGTAGTAAATGGTTTTCTGCTTTAAGTAAAAAACAAAAACATAAAATAAATTGAATAAAATAAAAATCTTCAGAGATGCAACAAACCACCTTCCCAATAATTCAGCAAAAAATATTGAAATGTGCATTTGATGAAATCTGACATCATTATCTCAAGCTACAATACAAATTATCATCACAACATCAGAAAACTATCTGTCAGACACAGCTGGTCCTTCTGATGCTGCCAAGTTTTTATTAACCGGTCTTATCTTTTTTCATGAATATCCGTGATAAGAATAGAATAGAATCGAATAGAATGTCTTTATCGTTACTATACAATGAGATTAAAACAGCCCATTTAAAATAAAGGATTAACAGATGAAATGAAGACGGTATTTACATTTTTACATCATATACAGGGTGGATATATATAATTAAACAAGTTATTGTACATGTTAATGTAGCAGGAAATGTTTGTTTATGATGACAGAAACATGTTGGGCAGCAGTGGCCCAGGAGATAGAGCAATCGGAAGGTTATAATAATGACAAATTACCCGTACTTGTGTAATGCCTTTCAGAGTCAGAGGACTCCAAAGCACTTTACACCACAGTGTGACCACATCCATTCACACACACACACACACACACACACACACAGTCACACACTGATGATGATGTCCTTGGGGTGCACTGACAGAGGCAAGGCGAGATTATGCAACATGACAGCAGCAATGCAAATTTAGAGCACATTGGAGTAGCTTGCAATCAACAAAACTTAGATTCACTTATATGTCTGGAATAAATGGACAGTTGGTTACTTAAAAATTGAACCAGAGCTCACCTTAGGAAAAAAAAGAGCATATTGATCAGCGACTTTGGAGTTTTTTTACACAACAAACAGCCAAAATGTTTAATTCATTCTCTATTTTGAACATTTTTTTAAAACATGTTTTAAAACATGACTTTAATCTTCTATCATTGCAAGCATAGACATGAATACATAGACGTGCCATTGGGTGCTGGAGACCATCAGTGTTGCCGCTTTACTGGGATGAGCAACTGTGTCCTTTTTGTGCAGCTTATGGTTGCAACAACCGGTGCACTACTGAAAACAGATCACATGGGACTTTTCTGGGGCTTTTCTAGCCTACTTGTTGGGATTATATATTTCAATTTTTTTAATAATTTTATGTAATTACATTCATATTTTAACTATCATGCCATACCATATGTGTGATTTTGTGAAAAAGGATAATAAAATGTGTTTTTTAGTTGGGTAAACACCTTCCTCAGTAGAAGTAAAGGCACTGGGGGCAAATGGAGACCAATCCAAGATGGCATCTGCCACTATGGCAGTTTCGATAGGCAGCGCCAGTCCACTGCGTCTATGTATATAAGTCCATGATTGTGTGACAGGGTGAGCATCCTGTCAATGCATCCCGATTGATCATGTCTCTTTGGCGGACTGGTTAGCATGCGTGACTCTCACCTGGGAGTCTGGGGATGGAATCCAGCCTGGGCCCTTGTTTCTTCACCTTGCCTCATTTGCAAGAAGAATCTGTTGCCTACATTAAAACATAATAAAATATGTGTTTGTTCAGTTGTTCTAAATCATTTATGCTGACTAAAACAACATTTATGTAATGCATGAAACAAAACTGGAAATTATTTTGTGAATTTTCCAGTTACTTGCATAAAGTCAAAGAAAACAGTTAAAAACAGAAGATAAATACGATAAATAAAATACAAATAAATACAAACTTAAATACGAACATAAAAATCCAATTTGTTTCTCACACACACACACACACACACACACACACACACACACACACACACACACACACACACACACACACACACACACACACACACACACACACACACACACGTCAGACCTTGTCTCGAACATCAACAGCTGCCAGGTGACACAGCTCATTAACTTCTCCTTTCTCCTATTCTCTTGGCTCCTCATTGTCTTGAGATATGAGATGAGCCTTTGTTGAGAGTTTTGTCCCCTTTTTTCTCGGCCAGGCAGAGCCCATAATTAGTGCTTCGCGCGGGGCGTACTTTCTCACAGGGCTACGACACAATTAATCAGCACTTTCCCACCAATAGGCTGGAGCCGCTTGATTCTATCCAGGCCACAGTTTTAGGTTTTGACGCCTTTTTCCAGTAATGTCAGCAAACAACAGCCAATTTAGAGCGAATGCTACTCCATGAGATTACACAAATAGCTGCATCACATGGGTTCAAAGCTGTAGGAATATTCCGATACAATAGTGCTTCTCATGGTTTTGGTCAGCACTTGGGCCAAATTTTGGGGCTTTGTTACATAAAATAAAAGCTACGAGAGCCAAATTCCTCAAAATGAAATCAGATTGTGGCAACCTACCAGATGAGTCAAAATCTGCTGCTCCACCCGTTTCTCTAATGTACTCTATTCTGTCATTCTCTTTCTTATGTTGTCCACTCCTCTTATTTAGGCAACCAATAAGCTGTTGTCAGGCTTTTGAATTAAAACATACAACGGTTATGCTTGAAGTGTAGCATGAAGCAGTGACACCAGAGGTGTGGTACAGTTGTACCAGAAGGTCACATGAAGGAGAAAAACTTGTTAAAATCAACTTTACGAGAAATTTCAGGACAAATTCTCCTGCCAACAAGATAAAAAGTTGTTCTTAATAAATAACACTGCTAAGCATTCCTTCAGTAACAAAGTGAGAAAAATAAGCTTTAAGTGTACTGGAAAAAACTGTTCTGCCTTTATATTTATCTCTGGAGAAATCGTGTCGCATCTGGGAGCACATTCGTATGTTACTGTGTCCAGACCCAAAACAGCTGGCCATCGCATCATTTTGATCTTTGGCAGGTCAGACGCAAACTGCAAAAGTTGCTTCTATTCCCCTTTCATCCATTAATGCTTCTTCAGAATGGATCAGAATCACCTCTGACATCATATCTTTGTGCCATTTTTACAGTTTCTCTACACATTTTTGTACTTCAATCCTCTAAATTCAAAACAATTAAATGGAAATCTGCTTATCAGAAAAAAAATCCTTAATAGTAGTTTTAATAAACCTTTTAGACACCATATACCATACCAGATCACTGAAAAGTGATTTTTGTTAAATCTTGTTGCCTCTTTCATTTTCAAATTAAAATTTTTACAAAATTTGCATTTTTTTTTCTCGTGTCAGAATCCAAGAGATTAATCCAAATAGTTATTATCTGCATATCATCTGTCAGTGTCCCACACAGCAAGTAGCTTTTCCATCCATCCATCCATTTTCATTTGCTTATCCAGGGTCAGGTCGCAGGGGCAGCAGCCTAAGCGGAGAGGCCCAGACATTCCTCTCCCCGGCCACTTGGGGCAGCTCCTTTGGGGGAATCCTAAGGCGTTCCCTGGCCAGACAAGAGACATGGTCCCTCCAGCATGTCATGGGTCTTTATCATGAAGGGATCCTCTCAATGTGGAGGAGCAGCGGGTCTACTCCGAGCCCCTCCCGGATGACTGAGCTTCTCACCCTATCGCTGCAGAGAAAATTCATTTTATCCTCTTTTATCCGCGATCTTGTTCTTTCGGTCACTACCCAAATCTCATGACCATAAGTGAGGGTAGGAACATAGATCACCGGTAAATGAGAGCTTCACCTTCCAGCTCAGCTCTCTCTTCAACATACAGACCGGTACAACACCCATATTACCACAGATGCGGCGCCAATCCACCTATCAATCTCTTGCTCCATCTTTCCCTCACAAGCGAAAAAGACCCCCAGATACCTAAACTCCTCCACTTGGGGCAGGACCTCGTCCCTGACCTGGAGAAGGCATTCTACCCTTCTCTGACTCAAGACCATGGTCTTGGATTTAGAGGAGCTGATTCTCATCCCAGCTGCTTCACACTCGGTTGTGACCCGCTCCAGCAAAGGTGGAGCTCACGTTCTGATGAAGCCATGGAGCCCATATCATCTGCAAAAAGCAGAGACCAGATCATCAGGCCACCAAAATGTGCTATAACATGCAGTAAGAGAAAGCCAAATTAGTGCCTTACAGGTGAAACTGAAAAAAAAATTAAATAAAAAATAGAATATGTTGTAAAAATCCATTTATGTCAGTAATTCATCTTAGATTGAGAGACCCTCTAAAGGCTCAGGAACCATTTGCAGGTGTTCTGGATTCAATAGCTGATTAGAGTGTGACACTTAATTCTAGAATATTGAACCTTTTCACAATATTCTAATTGTCTGAGATCTTGAATGTGGGGTTTTCATCAACCGTAAGCCATAATCATCACAATTATAACAAATAAAGGCTGAAATATCTGGCTTTGCATTTAATGAGTCTGTCTCATGTATTAGTTAAATCTTAATGATCTTCATGAATGAACTTTTGCACCATATTCTAATCTTTAGAGTTTTACCTGTAGTCCGACTGAAGACAAACCAAACTGGCCTACTCCTAATTGAGCAAATGCTAGCTTAACCGAGCTATGACCTATCTGAGCACTACTCCTTCTGGAAGTGACAAGACCATGGACCACGGAAGCGGTCTTCTGATAATATAATTTCTATAAAACTCTGTGTGAATCTGACATATAACACCATCAAACAGTAAAGTGCATATGAAACGTGCTGTGCTGCAGGGTTGTTGACATCCATTCCTTTAGCCATTGAATATATCCTGCTTTTACCCCATTTGGTTCACTCCCACCAGTGTTTGTTTACTACTTGAGCGTTGCTTTGGGCCAACATGAAGAAGCTAAAATGAAAGAGTTCATGTCACCATCTACCTTCTTGAACACCCTTCATTCAGTGATTGGATTTTCTAATGTACATGTAAACTAGGATAAAGGCTCCCATTCTGGTTAGGCTGTTAGCTCGATTATTGTCATAGCTCAACCTATATCCCCATGTAACTGCAAGAGTGTGTGAATGTGTGTGGGTAAATGGCTTGACTGTATTGTAAAGTGCTTTGGCTTTGACTCAAGTGCAGGTCATTTATCATTTAAATGTAATGGTCATTTTTTTGCCACTGGGTCAGTTTGCAAAATGTGCAAAAACCTATGAGTCTTTTCTTCAGACACAAGAGATAACTTAATCCTTGAAACAGGTTCACCATGTAGACAAGAAAAGCTGATGTGTCATGTTAAACTCCTGTTTACTAATAAGGGAGACAAAAGGAAGACAATGAGGAAATAAAAGGAAAACATCAAACAAGGAAATACTGCAGACCTTTCACCTGAGGTCGAAAAACAAGTCCTCTGCTACTAATCTGACATATGTTTTCATGAGCCAAGACAAGCAACCCTGCCATGGTGGCCGCTCTCCAAAACTAATGATGTCAAGTGATTCCCTCTAACAAAATCCTTTTTGAAAAAGAATGAAAGAGGCAGAGAGGGTGGGAAGCGCGGGGGCTCTGGGGGTCCAGTGAGGGGATGGAGCTGAGAAGAAAGAACAGGTTCACACTAAAAAGATGACTAAGGTGACCCCTGCTGTTTGTCAGAAAAAAACTAAACTTGGTCCAGCTGAATCCTACCAGCTTCCATCTGTGCCAAATCTTGCCCCTCGCCACTATCATATCAATGGACACAGAGAAAAGGGCTCACTTTGTATTTACGCCATCTTTATTGCCAGAATATTGCTTTTAATTACTGTCCTGGATTCCCTGCTGTGGTATAGGATGAGTCTGAGACTATTACTCAAAGTAATGGAGCATAATGATGTCTCTGAACGGCCCCTGAAGCCCAGGTCAGGGGTT